ATCCTGCGGCTGATCAGTGATGAGGCTTAACTGTGAGCTCAGCTCTTAGTCAGCGAGTTATGGCTTCTCGTTTCGTTTATCTGCAACTCATCTGTTTAAAAAAAATATAACATCTAGGGGTGGAGACAGAGCTCAGTTGGTAGAGTACTTGCCCACCGTGTGTGGAGTCACCATTAGATTTCCCAAGACGGCATAAAAGCAGGCGTGGCGGCCCACGCTTGTAACACCAGCCCTCAGGAGGCAGAGACAGGAGGATCAGAAGCTCAAGTTCATCCTCAACTACAAAGTGAATGGGAGACACATGAGACCCCATCTCAAAACAGATAGATAGACAAGCAGAACCAGCCGAACAACCAGGGCCAGCAAGATGGCTCAGCAAGTAAAGGCATTTGCCTCTCAAGCCTGACAGCCTGAGTCCAATCCCCCAAAACCTATGCAGAGGTGGAAGGAGAGAACTGGCCCCGCAAAGTGGTCCTCTGCCCTCCACACACACGCCGTGGTACATGTGGCCACAGGCACATGATATATCACATGTACAAATAGTAACAGCAATAATAATGAAATTTAAAAGAACCAAAACGGCAACCAACAAAATCTATACGTTCTAATGAAAAACATAGGATAGAAATGAACAAGACCAGGAGAGGGGCTGGCGAACTGTATACCGGGCAGCAGCCCCTGGCCTCAGAGCTTTGGTTAGCCCCGGTGCAGGAGCCATAGGTGTGCCGGCTGCCACACTGCCACTGCGTGGCTCTAAGCCCCTCCCTAAGCCCACGCTTGATGCGGCAGAGGCAGCGCTGGCTGTGAGCCACGTGCCAGGCTCCACCCCCGGGAGACCAAAGGAAATGTCCACACCGGCCTCCGTGGAGTCTCCCCTGGCTAGACCCCAGCCTCCACACTGCTCTTTGTACTGCAGAGTATTCTGTGATGGAGTGGCCGGAGTGGCGACATCCTCTGGGTGGCAGGAGGTCTGGCCATGTCAGCCTTTACCTACTGGGTGCCAGCGATGGCCTTTGACCCAGAGACATTTCTAGACATCACCTGATGTCTTTGGGGACCGGAAGTGGCCCTGGCTGACCTGACATGCTGAGAACAACAATGAGGCAGCCAGCAGGAAAACCTAAGCTCTCCTAGGCTTAGAGGCAGAGGGGTGGTCACCGGGCGGTCACACAGGTTTCCCCAGGCAGCACCTGGTCCTGAGAATCAGGAGCCCAGTGGACCTCTTTATGCTTTAGACTAGACATGGGGTAAACCCCTTCATCCCCAGGACCGCACAGATATGCTTTTCAGCTCCCACAAGGAAAGCCAGTCTTTACAGCTCTGCCCCCTATCTCTATCTGTGGCCCAACAGCCTCGTGAGCCAGAAACAGGCACACCTGTGTCCTGCATTCATCCGGCCCCCTCAGGTCCTACACACAGCCCTCATAGCAGGCCCAGCAATGGCAGCCCTGGATCTGGCTTTCCAATCTAGCCACTCTCCCCGAAGCTGGGCTGAAGCTTCTCCGGGCAAAGGTCACCAGGTGTTTGCTTCCCTTCCTAGAAGCCCTCAGGGTCCCCACTGCTCAAAGGTGCCATCCCATCCCATCCCTGCTTCCTGTGGCTCTCCAGCCCCACAGGCCCCGCTTCTGCAGCTCCATAAGTAGCCCCTCTGTGATCCCCACGCCAAGGCAGCACCCTCCATCCAGTCACTTCAGGCAGCTGGCCTTGCAGCTTCCTACCCCTTGTTCTCCCCCTCCTGGGGGAGGCCTCCACAACCCTGAGCCTGGAGCCTTCCCCCACACCCCTGCCCAGGGTCTCTCTTTCCTTTTCACTCCTTAGGTGACCATTATTCAATCCTTCAGGGCTCTGCTTCTACCTCGCTTTTCTGAAAAATCTCTGTTGCTCACCCATCGCTCTTACCATGGTGATGAGAATTGCTTAATTGTCTGCTGGCCACCCTGGACCACTGTTCTGCTGGCTAGGATGAACAGCTGTGTCTCCAACACTCAGCACAATGCCTAGCACATACACATGCTTAGCAGACACATGTTTGCCTGTTATGTTTTTCAACTGTATTATGAATGGATGGGCAGACTCAAAGATGGGTGCATGGAGGGACACGGGGAAGAGGTATTGCTTGGGATGGACCATGAGGCTTCTGAAGATCTTTGGACAGGGTGTTCAGAGGGAGGGCAGGTCGGGGCCTTGTGCAAGACTGTCGGGTTGGTAGGAGATAAAGGAGGATGCAGACGGATTACAAGGACCTTGAATGTCACTGTGCAGAGTCTGGACTTAATTCAGTAGACGATGGGGAGCCATGGAAGGGTTTTAATCAAGCGAGTGACGTGAGCCCACCTGTGCCGGAGAACAATCACTGCGACTGCAGCAGAGGCTGTGGTAGGAGGGAGACCGTAGACCTGGAGGCTGGCACGGAGGTTGCCACCACAGTTTAGATTCTTCAAAGCCAGGGTGTCCAAGTCAGAGTGGAAATCATGGGATGGATTGGGGGAGAAAAGACAGAAACTAGGACGAAACGAATCTGTGAAAATCCAGAGCCTTCCTTTGCCCCCTGGCTGCTTAACCAGCCAGTTTCCACAACCCCAGAAGCACAGGAGGAGCCTTAGGCCAGAAGAAGCCCGATTCTAGGCCCCAGGTAGACAAGCAATCGCACCAAAGCAGAGAAGCCATTTCGTTCAGGATTATCAGTAAAGGAATATCACTGTAATCAATGTTTTGCTTATGGACTTCCTGAGTGCCCAGCCCAGTGCTAAGGGAACTGGTTTGTGCATGTCTCTCTTTTCCAATACAACACAACAACCGAGGTTCAGAGAGGTGATGTAACTTGTCCACGGCCACACAGTCCGCAAGTCACAAACCCAGCCTGCAGCAAGCAGATAGCCAAAGACCCATGGGTCTGCCGGGAAAACAAGAAGTGCTCTCAGTGTGACAGCAGGTAAGGCAGGGCCTGGAGGAAACGCACGGGAGGAAGGGAGCACCTCCAGGCCCAGGCTATGCTCGGATGTTGGAAGGAGGCAGTCCCCTGAAAGAGAACCCAGCTGAGGCATGGGCACTGTGCGTATCCTTAGAGTAAGAAAACAGGAGCCTCTCAGGACAAGCAGCGACACAGGCCCGGGACCCAAGAGCATTGCAAGCCTTTTTGCAAATTAGAGAAGAGTGTGCCTTCCTCCAGGCAGATGCAACTGCCTTTAGGGCACCTGACTTGTTGAGTGGAGCTTAAAATAGATTTTCGACCCTACTCTTCTTGGGTACTGAGTGCCCTCAAGACAGTCAACAGCTTGCCCGAGTACAAGCCGGCTGTGCCTCCAGCCTTCCTGTCCTATCCCTTTGCTCCCAGGATCCCATCTCCCTCCCCTGGACATAGACTTGGGCCATTGTGCAAATGCAACTTTGTTGTTAGTCTTTGTCCTTTCCACTAGAGCCGAAGTCTGGCAATACCCATTGTCATGACAAGGTTAATACCGGAGCCTGTCCTGAGCTCAGCAGGAGCAGGGCTGGGCTGGGGCAGGCATGAACCTATGCTTCTTTTAGAGATACCAGAAACAAAACTCAAGGTTCTGAGGAGCAGCAGGGTCCTATCAAGCGTTCCATCTTAAGAGTTCTCTGAGGAGTTGAAGCTGGTGGGGAACCCCCCTTCCTTGTATGTGGGGGACATTGGGAAATAAAGCTCCAGTTCCTGACCCCTGGCTGAGGTCCTGGTCTCCTCCCAGCCAAGTTGACTGATGCTGCCTGTCCTGGCTCACTAGGGAGGTCTGGTCCAGCGCTTACTCAGCCGAGCCCCTCCTTAGGATCCTCTTCTTCCTGCGTTTGTAGCTCCTACCCCCTCCCAGGTCGCCCCGCACTGGTGCCGTTACATAAACAGAAATCCATCCTCCCCCCACACCTGAAGCTGCGTTTCCAATGGATTTTCCTGGTGGAAGAAAAATGAGGGGAAACTCAGGCAAAAGAAGGAATTTAATTGGCCAACTCCTCTATTTGGCATGGTAAACAAACTGTTCCAAACTTTGCTGTGTTGGAGTTCCCTGTCCCACCTCCAGCCCAGCCCGCCACAGGGATCCCCAGAACCCCACAGGGTGAGGGGACAGACAACCCGGAGAGAGCAGAGGCTGAGGTCCCAGCCTCTGTGCAAATAGTAGACTGTCAGAGAAGCAACACAAACCATAGCCACCTCACACGCACGCACACGCGCAGGCACACGCCCCCAGGGTCACAACAGTTTGTCACTTCAGTTTCTACAAAGGCGTTTGACAGCTTTCCTCCCCTGCCAGCCCAGGGATCTACCTTAAATACCTCAGGCCGCGCGGAAGCAAGTGTCTTCCTGCTCTGCCCGCCATCTAAGGACAAGGAGCTGATCCATTTTCCCTCAGACTCACCCAACATAGAACTGGTGAGGCCTGGATATCAGGGTACCCAGGTTCCCCCTTTTTGCCCACGAGGTGCTTGCCTCGTGACCTCGAGTCCTCTTCCAGTGCTTTAGGATGGAAAGGGGGGCAGCCCAGGTAGGCAGAACCAGCCAGGGTGACCCGGAGGCAGCTGGCCTAGGCTGAGAGACCTAGCTGGCTTGGGATAGCCCTGCAGAGAGGGACTAACACTAGCCAGGAAGGAAGAGCACAGAGACACCCCAAACCCAGCATCCCAAGTGGTGTCTGAGGGATCACATTGAGGACCCTTCCAGGAGCACTGGAAAAAGCAGGGCACCCTGCTGAGGCAGAGGGGAGTAGTGGCTGGCTTGGGGAAGAAGGTGCCTCTTGCCCTGGCAGAGAGAAACTGAAGCAAGCTGGGTGAAAGAAGATGGAAACACAGGGGGAGACGGACCAAGCCTCCACATTCCAGAAAGAGTTGGAGTGGGTGCTGGTGGGCCAGCGTGGGGGATACAGCTAGGGACAGAGGACGTGGTAGGTATGCCTTCGGGATAGTAGGGAAAGAAGAGGGTATGAGACAGGACCGGGCTCCAGCACCCCGCAGAGACATGGCCAAGGCTGGCAAACAAGCCTCTGGCCGGGATGGGCACTCCGGCCAGTTCGGGGACCCAGGGAGCTCTAGACTCAGACCCCGGTAATGAGGGCTTGGAATGCACACCTTCTGGCAAACGCCACCGACTCGGAAGGGTGAGAGAGAGAGCGAGGGGTTCCCAGAGTGTGGGAAGCTTTGAACCGGCCGGGCCCGCTGCTGCGCCCGCCAGCAGGGGGGGCCCCTGCGGCTCGGGGAGACCCCGGGGGACTCCGGCTTCTCTCTGCGCCCGGCCCGCGGCACCCGACAGGGTGGTCTCCGGCAGCGCCTCCGCTGGGGCCGGGACCCAGCCAGGCTGCCGAGGGAGTGGCGAGGTCAGGTCCCCAGGCGAGGGCGGCATGGGTAGGAGACAGTGTCCACCGAGGCTCCCGCAGCCCACACGGTCTCACGATCCACCCGGTCCCGCACCCCGGGCCCCCGAGGGTCAGTCCCGAGCGGCGCTCGCTTTGGACGTGAGCCTGAGAAGCCCGGTCCTTCTCCGTGGCGGGGGGACAGAGTCCCCGGAGTCGCGTGCGGACGGAGAGGGCAGCGCCGCCCCCCCCACCCCGATCCCGGCCGACCATCCGACGGCGGAGGGAAGAGGGGGTGGGGAGGTCACGTCGCCAGGACTGCAAAGGTCCCCCCAGAGCCGGTCCAGCTCACCCCACCCCGGGGTGGCCGCAGCCGCGCGTGTCGCCGCTGCCCGACCCGCACACGCACCCGCGCGCGCGGCGCACACGCTCCCGCCGCGCCGATCGCCGGGCCTCCGGGAGGGGCCGCGAGCCGGGCCCGGGGAGGAGGCGCGGGGTGGGCGGCAGGAACGCCGGGGTCCCGGCCCGCGCCGAGGCTGGCTCGGCCGTCTCCGCACCACTCCTCCCCCCACCCCGCGCCCCGGCTCTGCCCCCCCCCCCCCCCGGCGCCGCCGCCCCCCACCCTCCCCGTCCTCCCGGCTCCCGGCCTGCCGGGCATCCCGAAGCTCCGGGCTCGGGGACCGCGACTCCGGGGCCGGGAGATGGCCCGGGCTGGGGCTCCGCGCCGGGGAAAGTTTGGACGTGGCAAAGTCCCCGCCGCCCCGCCGGGGAGGGGGCGCGGGCCGGGCGCGCTCGGGCCGCTGCCCCAGAGCCCGCGCCGCGCCCGCCTCTCCCCGGCCCGGGCGCCCTCCCGGGCCGCAGCCTCCCCCGGCGGCGCTCGGCTGGCCTCCCGCGGGCGCCGCGCGCTCTTACCTCGGGGAGCGGCCGGGCTGCGCCCCGGTGCCCGCGCCTCGGGAAGCCGGCGAGCGGGCGGGATCCCGGCCGGGTCCGGCCCCGGCGTCCGCCCGGAGGAGCCGAGGGAGGGGGGGGGCGGGGGGGGGGGGGGGGGGGGCCGCGGCGGCGAGTGCGCTTGTGTGTGTGTGTGTGTGTGTGCGTGTGCGTGTGTGTGTGTGTGTGTGTGTGTGGAGGAGCGAGAGAGCGAGGGAGTGTGCGTGTCTGACTAGGGGGGAAGTGTGCGAGCGAGGGACGGATCCCTTCCTTCCTCCCGCAGCCTCTGGTGGAGGCTCGGAGAATGCAGCGCCCGCCCGCCGGCCGGGAGCGCCGTGCCGCGCCGCGCCGCAGGCGGCCGCCGGGCCGGACCCCGCAGCCAGCCGGGGAGCCCG